GCAGTTCCCAAAAAATCTTTATTTACACAGCTAAACAGTTTATGGGCCAGAGATTCAGAGCTACTTGAAACAATGAATTCATCCCTCCAAGGGGCTTTGTTCATGGATAAGAAGTTTGCCTAAGCTTGGGGCACATAGTGAAAGGGAAGATTTAGTCATTCCCTCCCTTTTACAGGCTGCCTCCATCCTTCCATTGCTCATTCACAAATCCCTCGGTGCCTCTGTAGGCAGACAACTCGTAGGTGGATCTGAGGTGGAGGCTGCTTGTTAGTGTTTTCTACTGCCTCTGTGAGCAGCAACATGCAGCAGAGCAAGCTCCCTCTTACAACAGAGACAGGTCAGCTCTGCCTACGGCGGGGTTTGAACCTCTGCTTATTATAGCAAAGGGAGAGCCAATGGAAACTGGGAAATTCAGTCCTAAGCAGCAGCCAGAGGGGCCAATTTTATATGAATTAGACATTGCTTCTGGAGAACAAACAGGCTGTCTGGACCTGAGGGTACAGACCAGCTCTGTGACTCAGCCTTGGTGTATTTGAATGTGTGAGGAGGAGGCTGCCTGCAATGGTCTCTGCTCTGTACGTGCCTGAAGGGCCAGCTCCAGGCTTGATTATCTCCATACCTGCATCTGTGATGGAGGCTCAGGACCCTGTATGGCCATGCTGCACAAACTCACTCACGTTCCCCATCCACAGCACCTTCCGCACAGATGAGCTCTGCTGTGGGCATCAACACCCCGAACTTTGCCTACCTTTTCAGTGATAAAGTATAATGCAGGTGCAGATAAAGAGGTATCTCAGAATAGTTCACCACTGTCCCTTGCTCGTCTGCTGTTTGCATTAACTTTCCACATGACAGTTCATTACCCCACACACTACAGCACCACTGGCAGCCATAAACCCCCTCCTTCTTTAAACTGGACTAGCATAAGAAAGCTGAGCACTCACAGAGGAAGGATTTCTGTGTGGTGCTTCTGAGACTGAAGGTTCTCTTTATAGTCAATGCATCATTCCCCATTACAGTAATTTCCTCTGAAGTAAATGGGATTTTGCCATTATACTTTATGTTTATTGATACATATTTCTTAGCTGAATTGACATAATCCTGTTGGCTTTTTCCTTCCTAACCTGAAATTGCAGGAAACCAAAAATCCTTTGACAGTAATGAGTTAAGTTCTGTAGCGTGCAGAGCTGTGTGCTTTCCCATTAAGCATGCTGGGGTTAAAATGGGCACCATTTACACATTAATATGTATGCCAGGGCAGCAGCACCTTTCCACTGTAATGTCTCAGGCTAAGGGGTCAACTGTTTAGCTGGGACACTTCCTGGCAATATTTAAGTACTTTTTAACCAGTGATTGAGTAGGGGAAGTCTTTCCTTGTGACTTGACATTGAAGAGGTTGAAGGTTGAGGGTGAAAAACCAAAAGCATCTGATTCTTTGTGGCAGCTAAAATACCTGCAGTGGTTTTGGAAGACATTGCTGTTAGGATCTTCTTTCCCCTTCCCTTAGCTCTCCATCTCCAAACCTGCACTTTGATTTAGCATCTCCTTTGTGCCTGTTCAAAATTGCTATTACGTGTTGCTGTGCATTGTTGAGTGATTTCCCTGTACTTCATCTCAGAGGCAGCAGAATTTAAGAGATGAAGGAACTGGGTGGCTTGAGGGACTAGTAATGCTGCACAAAGCTCTTCACTTCCTATCTGAATCCAGCTGCAATTTTCGCATAGCCAGAAATTATTACTGTGTAATGCCAGTTTGATAGATTATGAAAAATAACTTAGTCTCTGGCTTTTTTTCCCTTTTCTGGTGCATCTGCATCCCCAAACCACTTCTTACCACCAGCTACAATACCACAGCCGATGCTTGCTACCCAGCATGAGTAAATCTGAGCACCTCAGCCATAGCTAGTCACCTAATTAAGTAACCTGATTTTCTCAGGGGCAGAATATGACTTCCAGCTCCCACTGCACTCAGCAATTGTGAAAATCAGGCCACTTCTGTAAGTAGCCAAACATAGCTGTGACTAGTTTTGAGCACTCAACGTTCACAAAGCTCTTCTTGACAGGGCCTGGGAGCTGGAGCCTTTGGAGGATAGGTCCTCCCCATGTTCTGGCTGGTGGCTACAGAAGAGGGTATTGGGAGGGATGGAGTACATGCCCTGTTCTGTGACTAACCAGAAGCTATCCGTCATCATCACCATTCCCAACACTAAATTAAAAAGAAACAAAAACCAGTCTCTCAGCTTCAGGTCCCAAGATAAAAATACACTTTGGCTTTTGTTTGCTTCATGCAGCATTTCCTCCTCGCTCTGAAAACTAAATTGAAAAGGGAGTTTATTGTCCCCCTGGAAGAGATAGGCACCTTTTGAAATCACGCACGAACAAACATGTGTGGGGCCCAGCCTAATGTTTTCTAACGCCCTTTGGGGTCCCGGGAGCACATAGGCAGTGGAGAAGGAGCTGCAGTTGATTCCAGCAGAGCTCTATCGTGCTGTTTGTTCCAAGGAAACATCAATTCATTAAGTGAACAAGCCAACAGGGGTGGGTGGCAGAACTGTCTGTCCTGCTTGATTGTGCATGACTCCTTCAGAGATCTGCTCTGGGGTCTGGAGCCGGTAAATAAGGAGAGAGGCAGCTTGTCTGCCCTCACTTTGTAATAGGAGAAACTGCTCATTTCAAAGGCAGAGCTTTACTGGGAGGGTGTTTTTAATGCGCTGCCTCAGACAGACACGCTTCAAGATGTATGTTCAGGAGAGTCACGTTTTAGTTGTACTTTAAAGAGCATAAACAACCCAGGCAAGAGGGGAGGTGAATGAGAAAAGGCAACATAATAGAAGTGGACAACGAAACCAGGGTAGGGAAAATCCACAGCCAGCCATTGCTCTGCCCAAGCAGCAGCCTCACTGAAACGTTCCCAGCCTGTGCAAGGGGAGAGTTTTTTGCTCTTTGCTCTTAACTACTTTCCAAAGCAAAGCAGAGGCTGTTTTGCATAACGCATCTAAGACAGACTAGGGAAAGGTCAGCAAGATAGAACAGACCAAACTACGATGCTGACCGCACAAGATACATCCTTCCAGAAGGCAGATGCTTGGACAAGCACACTGCTGAGCTCAAATGAATGCTGGCAGATAAGGGCAGAAAAATGCTTCAGGAGGAAGTATTTTCATAATCACACATTTGCAACACAGCCCTTTTTTGCAGCATTATCTTTCTGCCTTCCTCTTACTCTCAAAATGAACAAAAATATGTATATTCAAGGGGTGGGGAAGCCAAGGGCAGAGCTGAAACACAGCTGAGTCAACAACACATGTCTACGAGCTGGTGGGTAACATTGAGTATTCCTGCATGGTTATCAGGGTGCTTTGAAGTCATTACTGCACACAGAAAGGGGGACAGAAGCACAGTGAACATCCTACACAGCACCATGGGCACAAACAGGCAATGCTGGAGGGTCCCAGGTGCCCAAATCCTAGCGCCACAGGTTGAACCCTGGAGTCCCGACCCTTTTCCCTTACTTGGACCCACTTCCTATAACCAACCAGCAGCATCTTCTCGCAGCAGATAACACAGGGTGCATAGAGTATTGATCTTATCCCTTTGATTGGATATTTTCCCCCTAGCTTAAAGATGCCAGCAGGTCATTTGCACTATTATTAAGCTGTAACATACCGTAAGAAGTTACAGCTCGAGACTGGCCAGTGTAAACTAGCAGCTCTCCTGTCCTCAGTCACAGTTGCTGTCACTAACAGCAGGCAGCTGTAAGACATGGCGTATAACCCACAGAGCAAAAGGCTTCAAAAGTTGCTTTGGCCAAACTAGCAACAGGAGAATACAGCTGGTTGTCACCTTGTCAGTCCCTGACCGAGCTGTAGCCCTGCTTGTGCTTCACACATCAAATGGCAGCCAGTGAGGCTTCACCTTTGGTGGGAGCTGTGCTGGTTCATTCCCAGTTGTCTAACGGTGGGAAAGACACCCCTGTCCACCAGTACAGTGTGGTGGGTCTGTAGAATGTAGCTCCTTTCTGGCCATATGGCTTCAAGAGACAGATGCCTGGAAACCTCACTCTTGCCTTCTTGCTCTTCAGATCTTCCTCTACCCACACCATTTTGCACAAGTATCTGCTGTTTAATTCAGTGAAACCAGCATCCCCTTCACTTTGGTTTCCATCCTACCTGTAACGCTTGCAAGCAATACTGCCCTGCATCCCTTAAACAGGAAGCTCAGAATTTGCCTATTCATGGAGAATTTGCCTCGTGACACCCAACCGAGGGCATGACTTCTGCCCCCTGACCCTAGCATTTCTATCCTTTTCTGCTTCCTTCATTCATAATCTGTGCTAAATATTTATGCCTTTTGGATTCTGGGTGAATTACATTTTGGCAGTCTCTAGTGTTACAAAGCTGAGCTGAACCACAGCTGCGTTTCGATGCTGATGTCAAGCATTTGGAAAGCACTATTCCATAGCTACAAGTGAAACAGCACTGCACAGGTTTGTTCTGCAACTGGAAAAATTGCTGAGCAAAAGACTTGGGTCTTCCCAGCTGGAGTGAAAAGAGATTTATAGGCGTAATAAAGGGAAATAAGCAAAAGAGCCCTTTCAATGTAGGGAGCTAGCAAATTTCTGCAGGTTATTCTAACCTGAAGGAAATCAGGTTTGTGCCCTCTGGTGGCAGCTGAATTTTTCCTGTCCCCAGTTCTACTGCAACGTCTGCACTTCAGACCCAAACATTTTAATTTCATGCTGAGCAAATGACAAGCAAAGAGGTCATTAAATGCCAATAGCTGGTGCTTCACCACCCAGAAATACACCAGACCAAGCAGGGAAAACCCAGAGGTCTCTATCTCATCCTTTGAACACGCTGCATGGCTTTGCCCCTCAGTGTATGGTGATTTAATAGATAGCACATCTGAAAGCCCCAGGGCTGAGAGAATCAATCCTGGAAAGCATGTCCCACAGGTTTCTAAACACACCCTTCCCCAGCAAGGACCAGATTCCAGCAGTAGATGTGACTACAGCCATATAACCCAGAATCACTGAAATACTCTTCTTCTTTTGCTCTCTCTTCAGACAAAAAGCACTGGCATCGACAGGTGGAAGAAGTGTTCAAGCAGCTTGCGACTGGTTGGTATGAAGTAGTAATGTTAAAAAGAGTCAAATTAGTGAATTTTGTGTTTAAGGTTTTAGTCATAAGAATGTGGAATGTTTAAACAGGGGCACTAGAAAAATGAGTGAGACATTAAGTGCCGTAAATAAGCAATCCAGAAACAAGCCTTGTCTGAGAGAGTTTGTGATCTCGAGTAATAGCAAGAAAAGTGGGAGAAAGGAACCACTACTCTCTACCCTAGCACCTACATAGAAAACTGAGAGCTGCCTTTTCAAAGATGTTGAGCAATTTCTAGTGCTCTCTTCCCTGTGTTTTGGACACTGAAAAGGAGAAAGGCAGAAGCAGTGACCCAGGTTAGATCTTCAGAGCCTCAGTCTGAAAGTAAAAACCTATTTTCTGTATTACTTAGCAGTGGTAATAGGCTGCAAGTGAGACAGTGCACCTCTCTGCCTGACCTGCCGGGGCTGATTTATCCCATAAAGGGAGAACAAATGGAATTGAGGACAGGGGAAGCTGGTTTTGCTGGGGGAAAAAAAAGAGTCTTTATCTGTCAGTCTAACACTTCTCTCCCTCTCAGGCTATTCTCCCATGTGGGTGACCCATTCCTCGATGACACCTTGCCTCGGGAGTACGTCCTCTACCTGCGCCCCACGGGCCCCCTGTCTCAGAAGCTGTCTGAGTTCTGGCAGCAATCAAAGCAGATCTGTGGGAAGAACAAAGCTCACAACATTTTCCCGCATATCACCCTTTGCCAGTTCTTTATGGTAAACCAGCGTTCCTCTT